ACGTAAGCGATTGCACTGTGGAGGTGCAAGCTGTGTGGTGCAAGCTGTGTGGCGCAAACCACGCGGTGCAATATATATATATATATATAGGGTGATAGCTACGTGGTACAGTATGTGTGGTGCAAGCTGTGTGATGTAAGCTATTCGGTGAAAGCTACGTGGTGTAAGTTATTCGGTGCGTGCTGTGTGGTAGAAGTTATGTGGTGCAAGCTATGTGGTGCAACATATGTGGTGCAAGCTCTGTGGTGCAAATCATGTGGTCTCTTCGGAGCCGTTGGGGGCCTTGTTGGATTATTTGGGGTCGTCTCGGGGCTGGCGTGGGTTGTCTTGGGCCCTCTTGTGACACCCGCAAGTGGGCCAGGCAGGCGCAATTTGAACTCTGGCAGACCATGTCTCTACGAGTTGGGAACCAGCTGGCTGTATTCGTACAGCTGCACTCGTATCTCCAGCCAGAAAAAAAGTATGGCTGCGTGTCTGTCCGACAGTGCAGTGGGTCTGTCGTTGTGTCAGTGTACCCCTCTCTATTCGCTGGAAAGGGGAAGGAGCCAAGGTACCGATCGACATGTGTGTACATAAATACATAGATACAAACGTATGAGACAGAGAAAGCCAGAGAGCCAAAGAGAGACAACGGGAGTGGGAAAGAGAGAGTGAGATAACTTCAGTGTGAGCCCAACGACTACATACGTGTGCGCATGATGCATGGGCGTGTGAATATGCGTCTGTACTGTGGCACGTGGCGCGCCCGTGTGTCTCCGCACGCCTATTCACAGGCACGCCCGCACTATCTGCGCTTACGGCGCCACGAATGCACACGTGCCCAACCCAGACGCGTGCAGATGTGCCTGTGGACGCGTAGGGGATGCAGATTCCCCAATCAGGGTCTGCCTTTGTAGGGGTCCTAGCAAATTCATATGGCTAGGTAAGCTGCGCCGCCGATTTTGGCGGCCCGACCGGGTGCCCGGGTGCCCAGGAGCTGCGTCGCCGATTTCGGCGGCCCGCCCAAGTGCCCGGGCGCGCGGGTGCCCCATAGCCCTATAGGCCTATAGCCCGAGAGTCCGAGAGCCCTATAGCCCTACAGCATTATAGCCCTATAGCCCTATAGCCCTATAGCCCTATAACCCTCCAGCCCTCTAGCCCTCTAGCCCTCTAGCCCTCTAGCTCTCTAGCCCTCTAGCTCTATAGCCCTATAGCCCTTTAGCCCTATAGCCCAATAGCCCTATAGCACTACAGCCCAATAACTCTATGGCCCTATAGCCATATAGCCCTATAGCCCTATAGCCCTACGTCCCTATAGCCCTGTAGCCCTATAGCCCTATAGCCCAATAGCCAAATAACCCCACAGCCCTATAACTTCATAGCCCAATGGCCCTCTAACCCTCTAGCCCTCTAGCCCAACAGCCCAAATAGCCCTATAGCCCTCTAGCCCTATAGCCCTATAGCCCCATAGCCCTATGGCCCCACAGCCCCAAGAAATGTTATCATTGGGCCTTGTCTCCGGCATCAGGTTTATATATATATATAGAACTGTATATATATATATATATATATACACGTATGACAAAAAAAGGGCCAAAGAGCCAAAGAGACACGACGGGAGTGGGAAAGAGAATGTGAAATAGCTTCCGTGTGAGCCCGACGGATACATACGTGTGCGCATGATGTGATGGCTATATGAATTAGCGTCTGCACTGTTGCACATGATGTGTCCGTGTGTCTCCGCACGCCTATTCACAGGCACGCCCGCTTACGGCCACGAATGCACACGTGCAAAAAACCAGACGCGTGCAGATATACCTGTGGACGCGTACTGGATGCATGCCAGATTTGTACAGGAACTCATGAATATGTGCACCATGTGCCAGGACACGAGCACGGTGAGGCACCTGCCCACCCCCCCACACCTCGGGCAACGACCTGCCTGCGGCTTCCGCCCCACGCCGCCTGCCACCCAGAGGCGACTCCAGGATCGGAGCCTCCAGCACAGCACAGCCAACGAAAGAACGACGGCAAACCCCTGATTGAGAGGCAACGACAAGGAGGACCGGCTCAGGGAGGGAAACATCGAGCTCGAATCGGCGAGGCATCGCCGATCAATCGGCCACATGCCCCCGATAGCAAAACGGCACGTTCCTGGACAGGGTGGCCCCAATCCGCGACGAATGGGCGATTGGCCGTCGACGCGCCTTCCCCCTCACCCCAACGCTGCCCCTAACCGCGAGGGGTCTTTACAACCCCCACCAATTGGGGTAACGAACTCATGTTTCGGCGGCCGTATTGAAGGACAGGGGCCCAACCAATGGGGGTTGCCTAAATATTGTTTCCGCGGCACCCGCCGCGCAATCACGACGACGACGACGACGACGACAGCTACGACTAGGATTACGACTGCGACTACGACGACGACGACGACGATGACGACGACGACGACGACAACGACGACGACGACGACGACGACGACGACGACGACGACGACGACGACGACGACGACGACGACGAC